TATGTATACTGTATATACAACTTAGATAAAAGTAAAACGACTTAAATTACCATTGTTGTTTGATGATTAAAGCAGGAAAAAAGGCACACTGGTTTCTGCAAATATTCCAATCAAAACAAATTTTGAATTGAGTTCTTYCTCGATCTGCATATTTAAAGAACTGTGCGGTGTTTTTAATTACTAGTTTAAGGTATTGTTTKTGTCTTTTAGGGTCGCACATCCACTCAGAAATCCACAGCCGACCCAGTGTGGAATGAGCAGATTGTTTTCACTGAGATGTTTCCTCCTTTGTGCCAAAGACTAAAAATCCAGGTCTGAGTGTTTCTTGAACAAAATATAGTTTTAAAACAAGGAAATTCTTGAACAATTAAAGTTTCTTCTTGTCGCAGGTCTGGGATGAAGGAAGCATGAATGACGTTGCCATAGGAACCCATTATTTTGACCTGAAACGCATTTCCAATGAACAAGATGGCGACAAAGGTAAGGTGAAACAAAAGGAAGGATGGAAGTAGACAGAAGGTAAGGATAGGGATAAGGAAGGAAGAATCCAATGAAGACATTGCTGAGTTTATCGCTTTGGTTGGTTAGTTGTTTTTTTATGTTTGACACTATCTTCAGGGTTTTTACCAACATTTGGTCCTGCTTGGATCAACTTGTACGGCTCAGCCCGGAACTACTCTTTGGGCGATGACACGGGAGAACTCAACGAGGGCATCGGCGAGGGCGTTTCCTACAGGTTCATGTCAAAACATTGGCAACTGTTAACATTTTTCTAAGGGAACTATGTTTTAAAACCAACAAACCCCTGTCTGACTGTGTGACGTCAGGGGTCGAGTCTACATGGAACTGACAGTGGAAATCATGTCAGGGGGAGCAGGCTCAGAGTCTAAACTCAGCCGAATGAGCAAACCTGTGAAAGATGCTAAAGCAGCCAAAGCTGGAGGGAAGGATGGGAAGACCCCTGCTGGAGGTGGAGGAGGAAGTGGAGCATCAGGAGGAGCAGTTGATGATGACAAAGGGAAAGCTGGAGCAGCCGAGGTCCTGCCTGTGGAATCTCCTCCTGTGGTAAGAATAAATTTTACATAATCACACTAAAATAAAATTTCAGTTGAGATTTATTAAGGTTGCTTACAGAGAAGTTTTAAATCAGCCTTTTAATAAATCACCACACATGTAGCTATGTTTGTGTATGTGCAGCTGAGTGAAGATGATTGTGAAAGTTTCATGCTGTTTGGTGCCATCTTTGAAGCCACCATGATTGACCGAAAGATTGGAGACAAGCCCATCAGTTTTGAGTTCTCCTTGGGTGAGTCATTTCCAAAACAATTGTCTTTCTTGTACTCATCAACTCTTTCAGGCGAGCAACAAACCAAAGAATCTACAAAATTTATTCAAGTATAATATGTAAAATTTAATCTATAAGATCATCCATAAAGTTGGGGGTAGAACTATACTTGGATAAATATTTTTACTYATGTATTTTAACTAAAATATCGGCTTCATTTACAAAATGCCTGAGTCCGGAAATGAGACCACGACATAAAAAGCAGTTGAAGCGAGCTTACCTCTGACACTTCTCCGTGCTTCAGAGCGAGATAATAACAGATCCAAGCAGGAGACATGAGGTGAAAAAAAAGGGGAAAAAAGGCAGTCCTGCACCTTAGTAATGATAACGAACTAATGACATTAGTGTGTGACTGGGCCGCTCCTGGAACAACAACAAACACGTTTGTCTGTAATGGCTGCCGTCTACCRGTGTTCTGAAAAAGTTTGTATCCCTGAAAAAGGTTTCCCCACCAGAAGGGGCGCTCATTAGTAGAAAGTAATCTGCTTTTGCCCCAGAAGATGGTCCAAACGTCATGTGAAGTCTCTGACTTTTGTGTTGGCGCCTCCTGGTGGACTGTGTGTAAAATGCCAGAATTCATATGATGCTGCTACAGCTGATATATATTTGTTGTCAAAATACCTTTTAGTACATATGTTGTTAAAATAAAATGAACAGTCCAATGATCATTTTACTGATATGTATAAAGACTGCAAAGGCTGAAAAATCTTAAAGTCAGTATGAAATTGGAGGTAGTTTGAGGATTAAATTTTTTATGCTTTTTAAGCTCAAAAAAGTGGGGGTCGTGTTAAACATAAGATCGTATTATACACGACTAAATAAGTTAAATTACACTTGTTTTCTCCTTTGCAACATCCCCTTTTTGTATTATCAACATTGTTTCTAATTATAGACCAAAGACCTCACTCTGCTTTTGGTTCCTCCTGCAGGTAATTATGGTAATGTCCTGGAGTCTGCAGCCCAGCCAAGTCCAGTTAGTCCTGCTGTCCCTCGAAGGAAAAAAACTCTGGACGCCCCGGACAGCAGCAATGTGATTGGCTCCTCCCCTCCCGGYTCTTATTCTGTTAGCCCTACCACCCTCCTCCTGCCCAAAGAACCTTCAGACTCAAGTGCGAGCCTCAAGTCCACCACCCCTCCAGAGAGACCTCAAATTGTCGAAGGAAACAGGTTTAAACTTGCTTTCTTTACTTCTATCATGCTGTGTTAGATGCTACAAAARAAATTTGACTCATTTTTAAATTACACTGATTGGTCCTGTTTAGATCAACTTGCATGGCTCAACTTAAAACAAAAGTTATGACTGTAACTCAAACCAGACAGGTTCCACCAGCAACAGGACACATGGACTAACAACACATGAAGTTCACCTACGCGCTTGGCTGAAGCCATGGCCAAATGAAATGCAGCCTTTTTAGACAAGCACTCAAGGCTCACCTCCATAAAAGGCCCTAATGGAGCAGACCGCCAGGCATCAAGGACCAGAGAAAGGTGCCACACAGGCACAACAAGGAATGTGGGAGGTTGAAAATGTCAGGCTTCACTCAACACTGTATGCCAACAAGAAATGGCAGTAACATAAAYATTCAGAGTGGATGGACACCAACCTTGGGAAAGCAGCTCCTGAAGGAAGGTAAAAATAACAGAAATATGACAATGCACAGGGTCCTTGTGTCTAGTCTGGCATCATCTGCTAAAAACTTTCCACTTGTGAATGTACCCCAGCCATGTGGAAGGAGCCCTGGCTRACCTCCTCATCATATTCTGAGATGATGCATCCCACCTCTGAGCCATTGATGTAAGGCACTGAGGAAACACCCACAACCTCCTGCATCGATGTACTGCATGAGTTGGATCCAGCTGCAGGCTATTGATCCACATATGATTTGATCAGCCGATCAGCCAATTATCCAAGTAGGGCAAGATCTTCAACCCATTGGCCTGCAGAGGATTCAGGGCTTTTACCATGCTYTGGGTGAACCCATGGGGATACAGAGAGAGGTTGAACAGAAGAACCCTCAACTGAAAATGCTTCCCCTGAAATGCAATACAGAGAAACTGCCAGTAGTGGGGTGCATTTGGCACATKAATGTATGTGTCCTTCAAGTTGACCAAGGTGGACCAGTCACCTGAAGAAACTTCCTGAAGCACGTCCATGATGTTCAACATGTGGAAAAGGATAACCTTTAAAAGAACATTTATACCTCTTAGGTCCAAAATTGAACGAAGACCACAGGTCTTCTTTGGGACTACAGAATTCTTTGAGTAAAACCCCCCCAGATCCAGCTCAAGGTCAACAGGCACTACGGCACCCTTGGCCAGTAAGGCCTCTATCTTTTGGCCCAGTACCTGAGCTTTTTGCTACATCATAGGGACCATTCTTCAGAAAAACACAGACTTGTGAGGACCCAGTGCTCCTTGATGAAATGATCATGCCGATTTTGGTTGGGTTTTAGGTTTAGGACTATGGGGTGAGTTGAGATTAAGCTAGGTTTAGCGTAAGGTAAGTACTTGTGAAGTTAATTTTAGAGTAAAGGATCAGGATTTGGCTGTAGAAATTATTGAAAAATGACTGAAAGTCAATGCAACGTCCYCATGAGGATATAAAAAACAATGTGTGTGGTGTGTGTGTTATATTTAGACACTACACATATTTACCCCTGGAGAAAAAGAAGCCATGTGTTAATGTGCTGGGTTACTGGGAGGACAGAACCTACCGACTGTACAACTCAAACATGTTGGCGAACATAGCGTTACTGTTTGTAAGTATTTATACACACACGCTCACACACACTGGACTGCAATCAAAGAGTTGTTTAAATGACATCTGATACAAACTGACTGTTCTAGGTTTGAACAAAGAATCACAAGCCATTTCACTTAAACCTGTTTGTGTTCTGCAGGAGGAAGGTGTGAACAGTGCAGCTGAGCTCCACAGGAAGTTGGACCCAGCAGCTGAGCCAACACTTAGAACTGCACTCACAGATTTTTCCATAGATGCCAGGTAATTACAATAAGCTTTGCACCTCTCTTTTAGAAAAAAATATTTGACACCACTTTCTTTCATTTATTGAACTTTGAATCAACTATATAAGTGTAAGAAAGTGAGCTCCACTCCAGCGAGGATGGTAAGTRTCTTTAGAGTAGGATAGTCAGCTGTGATCTCCAATATCTTCGCTGTGAGATCAGACACCATATTATCAGCAAAGCTAAGAACCTTGGCTTTTTTTCTTGTTCCAAAAGAGTTTAATCTCGTCCACAGCCCAGTCAGCTACTGTACGATCAGTATTTCATGGTCTGTGGCAGTCTTTTTTCCAAACTCAATTTGATTTAGGGTTGAATCTGGTGTCAGACCTCTTGCAGGAGTCAGAAATTGAGCTTTTGTTTGGACTCACAAATTTMTTCAAGTGGCATGAATCTTTTTGGCAAAAAGATTCCTGTCTTCCACTGGCTTGTTGTTATGCACTCTCTCTGCCAATCATCTCATAACAGATATAACCTTTGGTATTGCCCCAAGAGAGTTCTAGGAAAGCCTGCTCCTCGATTCMTTTCCAGTTTCTCCTGTTTCCAGGTTCCACCACACAATCTTCTCTCTGTTTTGTGCACATGTGGTCTCATTCAAGGCATTCATTCCAGGGCTCTAGAGTGCGAACAATTTGGTTGCAAACGCGACCTGATTTCCTGAATAGTGCGACTAAAAAACATGTCCGGTCGCACTGGTGCGACCAATCGTTCAAGGGGGAGCGGTCACCCGCTGAAACTAAAAGTTTCCATGTTTCATAAAAAATGAATCCAGCAGTATCAACCATAACAGTCCCCTGCCGACACAGTCTCCATCTCTCTATACTGCGCTCTGCTCGCGGGCTCCGCTGCATTCCTCCCGTGCGCACACACACGTTTGTTCTATCTTCATGGGGACTTTGCATTGGTTTCCATTCATTTCCCCATCAATTCTATAGCCAACCATAACCTCCCGGGTAGACTACACACCTGACCCAAACCCTAACCTCACCTGGCTGTCTGTACCAGGGAAATGGTCAATAATTGTACCCATCATGAAGCAAAAACCTGTACATACACACATGCACGTGCGCGCACACACATAGCAAAACAACCAGAGTTTTTTTTTTCTTTACCCAGATTGGAGTCTGAAAAACTTGTCTTTCTTGTTAACTGTGGAGATGAAAATAAGATGTGGACAGTTACTCTCTCTGAAGTCCATCTTGTTAATTTAACAGTCGGGGTCTGAGCGCAGCAGATCATTTGAGCAGGACGAGGAAGCTCACGGGTATGGCAGGCCGCTGTTACACTTAAGCGACTTCACCACAGTTACATTCAAGTATCTGAAATTGGTTCTTCTGGGTCTTAGGAGGATAAAACTAGACATATTAGATATTTAAGTGAAATAATATAAGATAATAAGATTCAACTAATGCTAATGAAATTGCAGACTTTTATGTGTTATTATTTAAAAAAATCTGCAAAAACTTTTAATAAATATCAGTAATATTTCTGTTATTAATTGTAGGGGTCACCTCGAGTGAAGAAACAAGATTTACTGAGCGTTCCAGTTCTGGGAGAAATTCCTGAGAATTTAATCCCAGATCACCACACTGAGCCGGTCTTGTTCACAAAACCAACACAGGCCATAGCTATCTTCTCAGCCGCCGATTTCGACCGTGACACAGTCAGAAGAGTTCCTGTCCTCTCGTCAGGCCTGTCCGAGGCCTGCTTCGAGGCAGAGGCAATCTTGTTTCTTCACTCGAGGTGACCCCTACGTACTCATTATTCTCTGTTCATCATTCTGGTTTATCCAAGGCCAAAGATCCACAGTTGTCCATCGGAGGGGCAGGTGTCTAAAAGAAATATAACCATGAAATGTTTAAGATGTTTATAAGATGTTCAGCCCTTAAACATTTGCACTTAGAATTTTATAGAATCACTTTAAAAACTTTTCAGTAAGTTAACGGTCTACGATTCTGGTTCAAATAGAGAACTTTATGTTTACTAGATTGTTAACTAATTATTTTTGGGTTAATGTTGCCTTAATGAACAGTGATTTAAAAATAACCTGTAAAACTCTGATGTTAAATGTGACGTGGTTGAAAATTTGGGTGCACCTAACTTTTGTGCTGGTGCACCTAAGAAAAATGTTAGGCGCATCGGTGCAACCAGTGCAAAAAGTTAGTCTAGAGCCCTGCATTCCCTCAGTACGATGAATCCTAATTTCCAACACTGCTGCCTTCTTGAAAAGCTGGCTGAAATCTTTTTTGGAAAATAAGAGAGCCATCTTGAAACCTTGGCTGCCCTCGGTCTGAGGCGCTATATAAATAAAACTTTACTCACTTACTTACACTTGATTTCTCAGAGTGCTCTCGTCTCACTGCTGCTTATTTGACAGCAGTTGAAACAAAATACAAATGGTTATTTGCTATTCAGGGTCATCCAATCATAACAGGGATTTGTAGAAAAGTGATCAAAAAATTTGATTCCTGAATAATTGCACAGAAAACCAAGTCAGTTCCCAGTTTAAAAAGCTTTATTCTTCAGATGCTCAGAGTCACTGTCTGTGTGTGACTCTGAGTCTAATCAGCACCCAACAAATCGATGGCTTCTCTCTCATCCTGCTGGTTATTCTAAAGTCTCTATATGTCCCTACAAACCAAAACAATTAAGAGAACATCCTGGTCACACACCTGGGAGCGGTATCAGCACTGATATACCAGAAATCTCAAAGAAGTCTTTGTTTATCCTGTGGAGGAACACACATATTATGTAGAAACATGTTGATTTGACACTGTTTAAAGTAAATGATTACAACTGATATAAGATTGCATCTAAAATTCAGTTATTCAGTCACAAAATTTCCTTCATAAGCACAACTGGAACCCAGGATATTAAACCATCAATAATTTTTGAAACATTTTGGTTTTAGAAAGTCCAAAAAAAATCTTCAAAGTATGATTTTTTGACTGAGAGAGGAAACTAGATAACACCAATGCATTCACAGGTAGAACAGGCAAACTGTGCACAGAAAGGTACTCAAACCAGAACATCAGTGCTAACTCCTGTTGTGCAAACACCAACACACAAGATCTTAGTGAAAAGGTGTTCACCTGGGCAGAAATAAAAATTGATCTCATTACATATTAAAACAATACTGTGAACATGTTCAATAATCAAAGGTAAAAGTGGTCCAACAATTTTAACATTTTGGGGCTGGCAATATTTTTTTAGATAATTAATATAAAATTGAAGCCAAAGTTATCTTGGAGAAATCTATGAACGTGAACCCAAGAATTTTACAATAAAAAAAAATTTTTTTTCATGCATTAAAATGTAATGTGACGTGTATGATGCAATTAAAGAGTGAACTGTATCATGATTAAAGGCTGAATTAACTGATATCATGAAATGTATATATGAGTTCATATTTATTGTTTACTTTAGCCATATGCACACATGCACTCTGATGTGTGGCAATAAAACTTCCGGTAGGCATTTTCTTTATGTAAGTTGGATTACCCAAACCTGTTCATTTTACTGTTCTATAGTGCTTATTTAGTGCTTATTTAGACAGACTGAGTGTATACTCTGCATATGCTAGCGCTTCAATATGAGGACTTGCAGTAGTATAAAAATAAATTTGTCTGTTGGACACAGTCAGCAGGGCCCCTATTTTGAAAAGACCAGCTGGACAGTTGCCAAACATGATTTACTAAATGCTAACCGTAAGTATGTCATTGAGATTTCACATATTGGATCAGCCATAGATCAGCGATGTAAAACCCTCCTCTTCCTGTGAATATCTCCTGCTCTGACTGCAGCTGTTTGTTCACCTGCAGTGTCCAAAAGTATCAATACCACCAGAAAAAGTCACCAGACTTGTCACTTAAAAAAAATAGTCTCTACGGGGGTTTGAAAACTCACTAAACATAGCAAAAGTAAAAAGTTTCGGTTCTTCAAGCCCCCTCTCTGATAAGTCAGTGTCACATTGTTAAGTGGTCAAATTTTTGGTAATTATTGAGAAGGCAAATTATTGCACAAATTTTAGAATTATGTCTTTTAATGTCCATTCATGTTTGCATAGATTTTCCATGTTTTCTAGTTTCCTCCCACAGACCAAAAACAGGCATGTTTAAGCTGCCTTGAGGAGGTCTCCCTTGAAAACAGATCTGTGATCTCAATTAGATTTGCATGATTAAATAAAAGGATGAATAAAGTAAAAAAATAGATACATAGATTAGGTTCTCACTGAGTGTTTAATATGTGTGTTCTTTAGGAACTTTATTGCAGCTGCAGAGGCCAAGCTGAAGGCTGAACTTAAGCAAAGCTATCTGACGCAGCTTGACAAGAAACGCCTGACGATGTGCAAACAGGAGCTGGTGAGTCAGTCCCACTCACTGAAACACAAGAAAACAGATTCCACTGACTTCAGCTCCAAAAAGATCAGTGTAGACTCAGATCATTGGGCCTCATGCAAGAACCGTTCGTACGCACAGGTTTGTTCTTAATTTGTGCGTACGAGTGATTTAGGAGAATTTGTGGCATTCACCAAGGTTTTCATATTCTAAGATTTTTTTCAGATACGAACAAAATT